TCAGCGGTTCCAAAAATGTTTGTCCGTATTATTGTGGTACGTCTATGGTATTTAAGAATATATAGTATGTTTACGAAAAATATTTCGAGTGTTCACCTCGATTTACTTTTCAAATATCCTCTTCAAGATTGTAAACAACTTATTCGCAACGAAAACCACACTGTAATAAAAAAATATGGTAAAATTCCTTGAACTTTCCACGGTAACTTGTTGCCATTGAATGTTCAAGTAAAATTGATGTACCTATGATGTTAAAGGTTTATTTAATATTACATAAATGTTACATGAATTTTACTTGAACATTCGAGGAATTTTACCATACTTTTTATTACAGTGTGCACCACATTGCAGCCGCTCTAAAATTTCTGATCTCTAATAATAACAGCCCCACAAAAAAAAGTGGCAGGTCCGAAAGACAAGACTATGGTATCCATATGGTTTTGGGGTCGCTGAATCCAAGTCCGGTGTCCGTTTGACACGATTAGCTCTGGTTTAAGGTCAGTTCAAGGTCAAATGTAGAAAATCAATTGTCAACAAACTAAACCTATGTATCTATACGTTTTTGGGGTCGCCGAATCCGAATTCGGTGTCCGTTTGATGCGATTAGTTCTGATTTAAGGTCATTTCAAGGTCAAATGTAGAAAATCAATTGTCAAAAAACTAAACTACTAAACTATACATTTTTGGGGTCGCCGAATCCGAATCTGATGTCCGTTTGACTCAATCAGATCTGGGTTGAGGTCAGTTCAAGGTCAAATGTGGAGAATCAATTGAAAACAAAGTAAACTTACATATCTATACGTTTTGGGGGTCGTTGATTCCGGATATGATGTCCGTTTGAAGCGATCAGGTCTATTAAATACTTTATAATAGAAAAAGATCAATCAACATACGAAAGATACTTATACAAATATTTTGGTTTTAAACCTAAGTGAAAAATTTGATTTGAGCAGAGAGAAAGGTTTCACCAAGATATTAAAGAAGGGAGAAATTTGGGTGGCAATGAATCTATCACTGATATTGCTAGTGATACTAGTGAAGACGAATATATTCCATATCACGTTGTGAAAAAACAAGCAACAATATCACAAAAAAGTAAATGATGTTTGAGATTTGGGTCTGGCAGAGAATGGTGCAGAGTTCCTAATATCATGGCTAAAAAAATACTAAGCAAGCCGGAAAAGTGAAAGCTTTTTACTATCAGTACAGAAATAAGGAATATTTTTCTAACGATGAAGAATTTTCCTTAGGTTACTACAATGATATTGTTGGATAAATCACTTCAAACCTAACGCACATTGGAACAAGAGTGCCATAATTTGAGGATAGTCTTACATAGGATCAAACACGAACACCATAAATGGCTTTACATTTGACCTTGAACTGACCTTAAACCAGAGCTAATCGTGTCAAACGGACGCCGGATTCGGATTCAGCGACCCCAAAACCATATGGATACCAAGGTCTTATCTTTCGGACCTGCCACTTTTTTTTTTGTGGGGCTGTGTAATTAGTAACACTTCTTTAAGTATTTATTGCGATACATACTAGATGATGACTGTTTTTTTAATAGAAAAAATGAATTTAAGAAAAAAGTTCCTATGAACGCCTGTAAAAACTTAATAAAAGAGTATTAAAATTTACATACGAAAGCAATTCTTGATTAATATCTTAGAAACAACCAGTTACACCTAATTGAACTTTAGTACAGATTATAACATATTCTTCTAGGCACCAGTGGCGTACGAAGGGGTATATAACTCTCTAATTTTAGTACTTTCCAAGTTTATGGATTTTTGGAGGATCTCTTGGATTCATATAATCTCATATGTTGTTCTACTCGTATATACATGTTACTTGCAGAAATAAGTAAATCGGATAGAATCAGATAATCGACTTGCAACTCATCCCATTATGGCGTGCGTCTATAGCATAGGATAAATGATTTTATTTTTCCATGTTCAATGAGAATGACTTCCAAAAAATACAAATTACTTTGTTTTATATAGCCTTCTCAAATTGTTTTTATATGTTTTTTTATTTTTTCGTTGCTGAAAAGAAAGTCAGGAATCCTTGGAAACTCATAATTTTTTTTCAAAGTAGCCCACATACTTATGGATAAAATTGTTTGGCATGAAATTGGAGAAATAAACATAAATTTTAATTCTGAGCCAGTGAATTTGTTCCCAATTTCTTACACAAAAAGGAATTATAGACAATATGCAAAAATTAAAAAATATATATACTAGGCTATTTACTTCGACAAAATTTGGATGGAATGTGAATAAGTTTTAATTAAGAACAGTTTGATAATGAGGTTTTTAGTATTTTATGCGAAAAAACACATTTTATTTACACAGAAAATATATGTTTCAAATAAAAATGTTTAAAAATTACTCTTTTTTAACCAACCTGTTTCCCAAAATGGCAACACCATTTTATTTATTTCAACTCAAATTTTTTTGTCGACACATGGTTAGGATCATTTACAGACATTCCATGCGTATTATATGTTGGCAAAGGGTTTATGTGTTTCTTAAATGTCATTACTGACATAATGTCTTAACCCTTTAACTCTCAAAATCGGATTTTCGAGAATGTATCTTTGAACCACGGACACCATTCCAGCCTGACGACGAATCAAATCAAACCTACTAGACTTTATGTTTTTGGGGACGCTCTTTGGGATGGTGTCAACAGAATTTGAAAAAAGAGTATTCAAACCATGGAAACGGACTTCCAAGTTGAAAAGCGCCGCTATTTTTTCATATTTTCAATCTTAATGCCGTGTTTTGGAAACGTTGTCGCTAAGTTGGAGTTTTTTGGACTATTTTTTAAATTTTTAACTAATAGTAATAAGTTTTGCAATTAAAGTTCACTTTTTCCTAATTTTCCATATACAGGTTCGGAAAGTCCCCATGGTTCATCGGCCGTTACGTGAGAGCGATAAAGTAAGTCATAGAAATCCGTGCGATAGAGAAGGATGGCTATAATGAAGACGTCTCATAGTCACCGCCCGTTGTCTTTTGTGTCACTACTTATTCCGACTTCGGTATTCCGATATGTTAATACAATCCGTTAACAGAGGGCAGCACAATTTGTCTAAGGTGAGGTGCAGACCTAGAAAGAGTGATGCCAGATCTACAGATTTTTTGGAATTTTGGAAATAGGGAATTTTGCTTTATTTCTTGGGATTTTTAAGTCATTTTAAAAAGTATACTTAAATAACAACTAAATGAATTTTAAATGGAGCTGAACACTATACTCCATTTGAGTAACTTTTCAGTAGGGGAAACAAGGTCATTAGATTTACAAACAGAGGAATCTACTAGCTACTAAAGTTTTCTTTGTTACGCGTGCTGCCCTCTGTTAACGGATTATAACGAGCGTTCAAATAAAAACGTGGTCGAAGTTGGCTCTGACACATTGGACGTAGGGAGTAGCTTATAGCGACCAACTTAACCTCATTTCTCAACGAGCTGTATAGCAGCTGCCAGTTTCAATAACGTTAATGACTATATAACTTTATTTTAAAGAATAATCGTGATAACAATAACAAACAATTAAAGGAGCTGCGGAAAGTGTCCCCCTCCTTGTTATAACAATAAATTAAAGCAGCTGCTGAAAGTGTCCCCCTCCTGGTTCCAAGCATTTTTCACACCTGTTCCTCAAAGATTTAAAGATATTTTCTAAGATGCTCGGGATATTGTTAATTTCACGAATCTTGTTTATAAGTCGAGCCTGCAGATGGTTTAAATCAGGAATAGGCAGTTCAAAAATAGTGTTTTTAAGGCAAGGCCACAAAAAGAAATCACACGGCGTAATATCACATAACCTCGGTGGAAATTCATGTTCAGCATTGAGACTTATTAGTCGATTTTGGAAAACTTTCCTCAACATATTCATCATCTCGCCTGCCGTATGTGCCCTTGCGCCATCGTGTTGAAAGTAAAAGTTTGTAATTTCGTTTTCTTCCAGCTGGTTAACAAAAGGAGCGATAATTTCTTCTCTATACCTTTGCGCAGTAAGAGTACCATTAAAAAAAATAGGTCCATAAATCCTCCTTCGATTGAGAGCACACCAAACTCCATTTTTTTGAGCGTGTAGAGGGCCCTCTACAAAAAAGTTATCTGGTTTTTCAGAAGACCACATTCTCATATTCTGTGAGTTTACGTAACCACTTAAATGAAACCAGGCTTGATCAGAAAAAAAGGTGATATTATGAAGTTCACCGTAGTTGTTTAAAAACCATTCACAAAATACAGCCCGTCGCGGAAAATCAACATAAACACTTTTTGTTCTTGAGAAAACACCATTTTAAACGCTTTTTAAAACGAAAATATTCAAATTGATAGCGGCGATATACCTAGCGCTTTGACAGATGACGTTTAAGTTCATTTGCTATACGCTACGCCCTACGTCCAAGTTTTCAGAACCAACTTGACCACGTTTTTATTTGAACGCTCGTTATTAACATATCGGAATAACGAAGTCGAAATTGTATAAGTAGTGACATCTATTAAAGAAAAATCAAACGACGAAAACAAAGATGACCACCGGTCGCTGAATTACAAGTGGAAGTGGATCTTATTTGTGGAAGTGCGAAACGGGCGGTGACTATGAGACGCCTTCATTATAGCCATCCTTCTCTATCGCACGGATTTCTATGACTTACTTTATCGGTCTCACGTAACGGCCGATGAACCATGGGGACTTTCCGAACCTGTATATATTTTTTAAAATTTTTCCGCGCACAATTTTTTCTTATAAATTCAGATCTGTGATAGAGACCCTCTGCCCCTCGCGATCGCGAGGCATCGGACCCGACCTACTAGTCCATGGAAACGACCGTATCGCTTGCACCCCTTTTCCACGCGTCCGATACGCCTATGTCCCTATCCTTCTCCTGTTAGTCATCATCTGTTCCGCTGAGCGGAGATCGCAACCTCGCGAGTCGCGTTTTAACGCAGCGACGATCGACGGGACTTTGCTTTCAGTTTGTGGCGTTTCAAAGTCCCAAGTCGGCTCGGCCTCCATACTCCATAGAGCTTCGCCTCAGTGTTTCGTTGGATACCATCGGGTATCAAGTCGAGCGCGTGTAGTGTGTAGTCCGGCTTCCCAGTGTTGATGTAGTAGTGGATAGGTGCTGCAAAGCCGCGATAATAGTGTATTGTTTGTACGTAACGTGCCATAAGAGTAGTCGCTGATGGGAGATTTGCTTGCTGCTTCCTGATATCTTTCCGTTTCCTCAGTCTGCTGGCTGGGGTCGCCGGGAGAGAGCTTTAGGGGGTTGTCTTGGTTAAAAGTCGGTTTGGTAGTCTTCTAGAGATTGTGTGGTGTAATTTTACAGTAGGGATGTACAGGGTGATTCGAAAATATATGGTGGAAACTAAAATTCGAAATTTATTGTTTGAACTTAATAGTCTACCTGGATACCTAAATGCGCCCTAATGAGTTACACGCCCTTGAAGTTGAAATAAAAAAAAAAGTTCAAATTTTTGAAGTTATTTTTTTCAAATTTGGCGCACAAATAGCCATGTTTTGAAGTGAATATCAATGAAATTAATCGACATCCTTTGTTTCACCCTGCATTTTTTTATACTCCATATTCTAATGATTTGAACAGTATCAGTGGACAGATAATTTGATTCCAACAGTTTTTTTCTTGACATTTTTTGAAATGATTAATAGGAACGAAGAGAAAAATAGGGTAAAACCTCCGAATACTTTTGGATAGATCCGATTTTTATGAAAATTTGGAATTAACCTTATTTCACACTGTAGATGAAAAGTTATATAATGCTTGATATGTGCTTCTTATTTTTAGGGGATGAAAACCACCCATTCATGATAAAAAAATGAATAAATATAAAAATAGGTGATATATAGACTAAAATCATATCTTAATATACGAATAATATTGTTTTATATTGTGGGTTATAATTTACGTAATTTTTATAAAGTTTCAACCCTTAAAACCACTAATGATAAAAATATAAAATTAATAGTTTATTTGATCTTAAAATATTTTTATAGCGCATACATTATAGATAGAAACCTTTTTAATAATTCATGGTATTATAAATAATTTATTACAATATTTCAACCCTTAAAAAACTACCCCTAATAACAAAATATTTAAAAAAAATGGTTTTTAACAGTTTGAAATGATTTTATAGTACAAACAGGATAAATTAAATTCTTTTAGCTGTTTATAATACAATTTATAATTTATCGCATTGCTATAACTCTTAAAAACTACAATTAATGACAAAATATAATAAAAATGGCTTTTAAATAATTTAAAATGCCCTTCATTATACAAATAAAAACAATTTTATGCATTTAAAGTTGATAAGTAGAATTATTAAAAGATTAAAAAAGGGAAAAAGTGAAGGTATTATATGTATATAGAATGCTCCAAAGTTGTGGATAATCAAAGTATTGATATGCTCCGAAAATTGAAGCGGTAAGGTACCGTTGGTTTTTTAACGATAACTTCCTTAATTTTTAAGCTATTAAGACGATCCAAAAACGATTTTACGGAAAATTTCGACAGCTAAAAGTACTGTATATGTTTTAACGTGTTATTTTGAGATTTTTGAGGTTAAAGGGTTTGAAAACATCACCTTTGCCTTCAACTGCAAACTTCTAGCAGCGACATCTCTGTTAATTTTTATCCTACACAAATAAAAAAAACAAAATATTCTGTGAAAAAAAATCTAAACTTTTGTACTCTTGAATATTTTTTGTATCTTGTTTATTTTTAGTTATTTTCAAAAATATGTTATTTTTTTTGGAATCAAAACGTAATATTTTCAAAAATATGCATTCTAAACCGCTTAAACTTGTATAATATTGCTAACACATAATAAATGTAAATTGTAGAAGGATTACCTTTAATTTTAAATCTCGTGAAAGATTAATCAGTTTTTGTACTGATTTTTTTTTTCTGAAAAAGCGAATTGACAGTTTTATTTTGATTGTAACTGTTAATTTTTATGTTAATGACTTAAAGTCAAGTTCATTTTAAAGATTTTTTAAAGTACCTACTTTAAAAAATGTTCAGTGCATTTTTCTTGAAAAATAGATTTTTTTAGTTATTTTACGTTAAACGCTTCCAATTCAGTTTCTGGCGGACATGAAATTATCTTCAACCAGCCGTATCTCAGCACCTATTGCACCTACATAAATGAAAAAAAATCAATCTTTTCCTTTTTCTATAAGCTTCATTTTCTTCGTAATATATTTTTTCATAAAATGTCTATTTTCCGAGTTATTCGTGAAAAACTACTGACAATCGTCCTTTTTTTTAATAAAAAATGTACATTTTCAATCACCAATAACTCGGAAAATATTAACTTATCGAAAAATGTTCCTTAAAATTGATTGCTTTATCGATTCCTGTATTTTCAATATTTTAATTCTCACCTCCTAGAAGGGGTGGCTTCCACCCCCTGGGCAAAAAGCGCTCATCAAAGGATTTTTCGCGTATAGCGTTTTGGCTAATTTTGATCAAACGCAATGCGTCTTATCGTGGAATTTGATCTAATATCTATGACTCGGCTTTCTAATAGAAAATTTAAAATTATCAGTACATGGATATAATCGTCGTTAAAGGATTAGTAACATTAATGTATTATCAAACTAAAAAAAATCAAATTATTCTATATTTATTTGCGTGTCCTGAATCTTAAGAGGATAAATTGCAAATATATCGTTTACACATCTCCACCAATTCTTATTTACATTGTTAATATAGTTTTCTACAAGAAATCCGTATAAATTTTACTTAATATCGGTGGTAACGATGACCTTACAGTCATTCTGTGCATTCTGACTTTAATGGGTTATTCAGTAACTTAAAAATTTAACACAGTGTCAGTTCAAATTGGGTTTCACCAAGTACGGCAAATAATAAAAGAATGTTTTACAAAAATAAGTAAAACATATTTTCTTAGTAGCAGAAAAAAAAATTGAAATATCTGTTCCACTATTTGACATATTTGTGAACCAAATCAATTAATTTTTGCCTTTAATTAAACTTATGTCGAAAGCTAGTCGCCTTAAACACTTAATTAATTTATACTTTGATTTAAAACTACCCCAAGAGCAAACTGTGGAAGTCCAAGAACGTAGGCTTGGAGAAACCACCCTGTGTATTTTAATTTTCGAATTAACCTAACTTTTCGAAGTTGGAGTAAAAATATCTTTGTTACTTCTATTATTTAAACACAGGATGTTTAAATTAAATGAATGTTGAAAAATGTTTCAGCATAAGTTTATATCTAGTGGACCTGATGTTTTTCTTAAATTTAAATCTTGTCTAACGTAACTATAAACTTAAGGTATAATCGATGGTTTAATTTTATATCGTGGTAACTAAAAAATATTAAAATAAACTTGAATGTTTTAAATTTTCTAGCACTTAAAAAAATATTTTTGTAATAATATGTCGATGTTGATATTTAACATGTCTTCTGGTGTGTAGTATAACTTTATATGTGGTTGAAACCATATGATTTTATTTAAATTGTCTGTACGACAATCAAAAATGGGGGACCAATGAAAATATAATATGTAAGGGGATGTCTGTGACAAATTTTGAATTTTAATAATGATAAAATTTCTGCAATTAATGTTTTCTGATGGATAATACTTATCTATTTTTAAATTATTATCACCTGTTGCGTGAGAGACAAGTAATTTATGACCAATATTTAATTTTAACACGCGATAAGATAAAGGCGTAACGCAAATTTATACAGTGCCCCTCTTTATTTATAATTAATAAAATATAAGCTCATACTATTGTATGTTCTCCGTACGTACCTAATATTTGTGTATTTGCTTATGTAATTGGGCTTTGCATAAAAGGACAGTCTCCTGTTATTCCTGATTGAGATAATATTGTTTGGAAGTAAAAATTATGCTGCGAATAAATATTAATACATTTATTAATACAGATTGATTGAACTGAAAAGTTTTATTACACAGTGTTTTTATCGTCATGTGTTGAAATTATATTTAGCATCCAGTCAGATTTGGCCAGTGTAGGAAATAACGTCATGGTGAATTTAGAATTAAAATGTTGTCTGAAGTTACTTATTTGTGGCATAATTTTTGTTTTTTCTATATTTATTATGCCACCTGTGAAAAATGAATGAATGAAATAAACCCTTACGGCAAAATGATGTTTCGAGAGTTATTTTTTTACAAAAATAGTTTAGACTAACTAAAAATCTCACACTGACAAAAAGCAAATAAATAGAAAATACAAAATATACACTGTAGTCGCCAGGGTTTATTGATTTTTTTCGCATGTGTCAAAATACACAAAAAAACAAAGAAAACTGAGAATTAAATGTTACAATTACAGTTTAGTTAAATTATCAAAAAAATAAATAAATAATGTACTTCGTAATAAAGGCACTATCTAATTTTGTGTCAGTGAAGAATTAAATTCCATAAAAGATATGCAATTAATGCTTCTGTTGTCGCGTCGTGTAATTCTACCTCAATCACAGTATTGGTTGTCTTTAAAAATCGTAGCTAACGTTGTTGCTTGATCTTTTTTTGGCTATAAGCATACATCTACATGACAGTTCTTCAGTATTCTTTACTATTAACCTTTAAAATTTCGTTTTTGGTTTTTGATATTTCCATTAAAGGAAAAACAGACAGTTTTGCATATTACACAAAATCGTAATACTTTGGTCTAGATAGAATAGAAATTTTCCTTTGCCAAGGACGATCGCTGTTTGAGAAGCGCTGGCGAATGACAACAAGAACTCCCCAAAATGTTGTCATTTGTGAAATTTACCGCGTACGTCGATGGGAGATAGACCCAACGTCGTTGGGGTTAGGATTAGTTTTACAGAAACGTCTATTTTGAGACGCACCTTCATTTACCAGGCGTTTGGTTTATCTTTCCCGCGACGAAATATTTGTATTTGGCTATCCGTACCCGTTATCTGAGCAAATACTACACGAAAAACAAAACTCGTGCCGTAATCAGCTCGTTTTAGCGCAATATCCCGTAAAGACGTTTAAATCTTGGCGACCGATTTCTAATAAAATGCCTGCATTTTTATAACTGGCTATGGATAAACACGTATTCGTTTGTTCTATGTATAGAAACAGGGCCGCGGAGCATCTGGGTGGAATACAGCGTGT